CTGTGACCTGGGTAGAGTGCCGTGACATCATAGTTCACAGCAACCTCAAACTCTTGGGCTCAAGCAATCCCCTTGCCTCAACCTCCCGAGTAGCAGGGACTACAGGCACCTGCCACAATGCCTGGCTAGTTTTTCTATTTTTAACAGAGACAGCATCTCACTCTTTCTCAGTTGTGTCTCCTGAGTGCAAGCAATCCACCCTCCCAGGTACTAGGATTATAGGTATGAACCACCACACCGGCCACAACTAGAATATAAGGGGAAAAGTTGCACAAGGCAGGGGAAAAGGGAAGCTAAGTGCGCATTTTGCTGTGACTTTGCATTCTGCATGAGTCCTACACATAATCTGCATATCATGCTATCAGCCCTACACACGCAGTACCCTTTTCACCTCCCTCCTGTTACTGGGTAGTGTTGCTGTTCATGCAGATATTTGCCAAATCTGTATTTTAGGAGACATTTCCTGGTTGATGGGAATACTTTTAAGATGATTTGCTTTTCCTCTGGAAAATTCCATTTTCCACATGCCAAATCATGCCATGTACATGCTAGGTTATCCATCATCTTCACCTGGCTAAAGAATACCCAGAGTGTTTTTCAGTCAAGCCATTCCACAAGGTAGAGTCAAATGATCCATTTGGGCCAATGATTCTCTCACCCTTGACTTTGAAGAATTTGGCAGATGAATTTGGTCCCATGATCGTGCTCTGGCATACCTAGTCAGTCTACCAATGGCTTTTTAGTTGAGCTTTATCTAGTTTATTTCTGTGCATGGAGATATATATATATCTCATGGAACTCTCCATGATGTAGGAACGTTCATTTATGTAATGTTTATCCAGGTTATCTTCCCTTGTGTAAAAGCAGGTCCTAGTTGAAAGGGACTTTCTGACTAGTTTTCCTGAAGATCCAAAGTGTTCTACTCTCAAATATATTTGGAAAATACTGAGTTCAAGTTACTAAGACTGTCAATAACATTTTCCACTAAAAAGAGCCAGGGCTTACTCAAGATATGCCCAATTCTGAGACTCGGGCAGGGAAAATACTAGATGACCTCAAACATCTCTGCCTTGGTAATAAGGAGATCCCTGTAAAACACAAAACAATGGGAAATGGCAGAGTGACAGAGGAACCCTTTTGAAGGGTACCCTACTGGGGTCTAGGACAGTTTGAGCATCTCTAGTAATGTTAGTAATGGAATATAATAACAGATTGAATAAAAGAGAAATACAAATAAATGTGTCTATATGGATTAGTAGACAAATGAAGGGCTAAACTGTGGAGAAGGGACAGCTATTCCTTACTCTGGGATGCTATCAATGAATATAAAGGAACGTGGAGTCAGAGTCATCAATGGATACTAAAACTAGTGAGGAAAAGATGAGAAACAGAATATTTATATAACCTCAAAGCATCTCACTACAAGGTGCATTGTAATTACAAAAGGAAAATTAATAACTTTATAGACATCACTTTACCTTAATGATCAAGATACATCTTCCTAATCTTGGGATGAACCCAAGTGCCCGTAACGTATCCCCTGATCCCTGAAAAGACACCATGTTGGTGCTCTGGTGACCTGCCCAGGATGCTTCCCCAGAATCTAAGCATGAGAAACCACAAGGCAGACTTCAGTTCTGTGAAATAACTTTCCTGCACATTGAACATTGTCAGAATAAAGAAAGACAAGGGCTGAGTAACCGTTCCAGATGAAAGAGGGATGAGGAAGGTGGGAGGGCAGCATAAAGAGACATGACAGCTAAATGCAAAGTTCGGTCTTAGATGGGATCCTGGAACGAGAACCAAAAATGATCTGTAATGGGCTTTATTGGGGCATTTCACAAAATTTGAAAATAGACTGCAATTAAATAATAGTATTGTATTATTGTGAAGTTTGCTAATTTTAATAATTATCCTTTGGTTATATCAGAGAATGTCCTTATTCTTAGAATTTACACATTTAAGTATTTAATGGCATATTATTTCCCACTTACTCCGAAATGCTTGAGAAATGAAAAAGTGTTGTGTGTATATACAAATAGAGAGGGCAAATGGGGTGAACCGTAAGTAATTGGTGGTACTAGGTAAAGGATGTCTGGAACAGTTCATAGATCTCTTTATTGCCAGATTTCCCAGATCTTTTCTTCAGTTTACTTGTACCATGATTGCCGTGAATATGCAGGACTTAGTTTCACGTTATTAAAATGAACACATCTTAGGGAATGCTGAAGGGAGAATTGTAGATGTGAATTTTGAGAGTGAATTTAGAAAGTAGCCCAAGTTGTTTTTGGAAAATAGGTTTCTGGTGTCCATCCAAATTGGGCCACCAGTAACAATTAACAAAAACTGTTAAGTACAGTTTACTCATCAAAACCCCATCTAATTATTTACTCATATTTTAGATGGCATCAAACTTTACCGTCACTCAGTAGACTATAACTTGAGAGAGATAGCAAGGAGAATTTATATTTCAAACCTGTGCTACTGGTCTCTTCCTGAGACATTTTATTATCCAGATGGGTGGAGCTGTGACTTAAACACATTTTCTAAAAATACATTTTCTTACCCAGTTGTAAATGAAATGCCCTTGAAGAGGTCTTAAAGTATTTTGTATCACACACTATTCAGGTGATGCATTAAACAATGCCGCTCCTGCTCATGGGCTGAAGTGTAAGAAAGCCTTCTGCGAACCTACTTAATTTGAGAGCCTGAGTTTTAAAAGGAAAGTGAAGTGTAATTTTCTGAATATACTTGTATGGAGTTTCTTTCTTGGGCTAGTAGCATTGCACCAAAAGCAATCCCCCGGTATTAAACTGTTTTAATCCACACCTCGTTGAATGGATTTTTCTCAGGGTAAATTCATGATGTCTAAAGCTGTCCAAACCTTAAGGCAAAACATTTGTAAGAAACTGTCAGAATCAGTATGAATTCATAGTCTTAAGAAAAAGCATTCTCTTTAGGAAAGAAAATCCTCCAAAAGAATCTACCTATCCTTCTCACATCCACTTTTGTACCTGAGTTTTCCTAGAAACTGTCCTAATTTGGGCTACCTGGTTTCTCCCTTCAGAAAAGAAATGCTATCATGTTCTCAGCATCTTACTTAATTCAGTCATCAGACCTATACTTCAGCTTCTCCCTCTGATTTAACTTTGTTTACTGGGCGTTCAATATCAAATCTCCAAACTCCATCTGGAGTGTGGTTATTTAGCCTCCTACAGAAAGACAGCATCATGTCATTTAGAAAAATGGGGAAGTAGAGGTCATGAAAGAGAGCTAATGATATAGGGGACTGAGTTTTCTCTAAAGAGTCAATGGAATCATACTCTCACTAGAAATTTTAAGATGTCTGCCACAATGTTAACTTTTAGCTATGATAAGGATGATGGCGATTTGTTGAGCACTGATGCTGTCTAAGCAGGAAGTGTACCTATGTGCCTTATACCAGACTGACTTGTTTGAGCCCCATAACCACCTGACAAGGTGGAAGTACTTGACTTTGTGCACAAAAAAGCTGATGCTCAGAAAATACTTTGCCTCACAGGTCTTATAGGCAAGTAAATGAGGAAGCCAGATTAAGAACCAAGGTCTGTTCTTTATATCACATAAGGAATGTCTTAGGGATAGTCTGATTCATTTTTGTTTTCTAAATTTTATAAATTTCAAGGTGTGGGCTGGGCACAGTGGCTCATGCCTATAATCACTGTAGGAGGATGTGGCAGGAAAATCACTTAAGGCCAAGAGTTCGAGACTAGCCTGGACAACATAGTGAGACCCTTTCTCTAGAAAAAATAGAAAAATTAACCAGACATGTTTGCACGTGCTGGTAGTCCCAGCTACTTGGGAGGCTGAGGCAGGAAGAGTGCTTGAGCCCAGGAGTTTGAGGCTACAGTGAGCTGTGATGATGCTACTGCACTCTAGCCCAGGCAACAGAGCAAGACACTGCTTCCAAATACAATAGAACCTGTTTAAGTTGACCAGCTAAGGGACTGTAAAAACTGGTCAACATATGGAGGTGGGCAACACAAGGAATTAGGCCTACTCTACTGATGTGCACATGTACATGGAGTGCACATCCAATATGTGAAAATTAGGTCAATGTAAGGAGATAGTCATTATAGGGAGGTGGTCAACTGTGGAGGCTCTGCTGTGTAGGTATGTGTACACATACATGAGATATGTATGTGGTATATATGAGATAGCAAGGCACGGTCAAGATTAAAATTGTATAATGATTTTAAGTTGATATATCTGTGTTCTACTGTTTTAGTAAGAAACTCTTATCTAGCCAAATATAAAGGAGATATTTAAGGTCTGGATGAGACACCTAGATTTTAGACTCTGATGTTTAATCTTGGGCAAGTTAATGTCAAATTACTAAAGCACTATTTCCTCCTCTATAACTTGAGTATAGTAATTTCTGCCCTACCTTTAGAGGGGATATTGAAAGAATTGAGCAAAATAATGTGAATTGGCTTTTTGCAGACTGTAAGGTGTAAAGCATTACTGTTATCACTTTCATTCTATTTCTTTATGAATTCACTGAAATATGCCATTTGGGCTGTTTCTCAAAGCTACTAAGATACCCCTTCAAATTCTCATCACCATGTCATGCAATTGTTTTTAAAAATGTGCCCATTTAAGTGTTTATAATCTTAATGTGTGGACTGAATCTTATAAGCTTAGTTTTCTACTTTTGTTGACATTTTGATTTTTCATAGGGACATTTCACCACGACTAGGGTATAAGGTAATAATTTGGTGTTATTTATTTTGGGTGGCATGAATGTACTGTGGTTATGTGAGAAGATGTGATATATTCTGAAGTACCTAGGGTTAAAATGACACAATGTCTGGGTTTGCTCTCAAATACCTTAGCAAAGAAACAATATAGATAAATGAATTGGCAAATAAGAGGGAAATATGGGTCCTTTGTACTATTATCTCAACTTCTGTGTATGTTTGAAAACTTTCCCATTACATTTTTTAATTGTTCTTTTACAGATGCAGATTTTCTTTTACAATCCAGATGACTTTGACAGCTTTCAAACTGCAATTTCTGAGAACAGAATAATCGGAGCCATGGCCATATTTTTTCAAGTAAGTTAACAGTGGCTGAAGTACTTCAACCAGAGAGCTCTTGGAGTATTTTTTTATAATTCGCTGAATTGTTCTATGTTTAATGAATGCATCTGTTTTCTAGTTCACACCTGTCTAAATGAAAGATATTTCATATTGTCTAAAGTGTGATTTAAAATGTAAATAAGTATGTTTAGAAACATAATGAAAATTTTTGCATGAATTATTCTGATTTTATTGCTACTTGACTGGTGCACAGATTGAAGAACACATTTATCATCTAAGTTACTTTACTGCTGAAGCTTTTTGAACAGGTTCCTTCAGCATATTAAGTCTGATGTTTTTTTTAAAAGGTAGTTTTCTTTGGTCCAACTTTAAAATTTGACATTACTCGCAAGTAGATTAATAAATAGCATCAGTCGCTTTTGTAAAGAGACCCCTTTTCTTTCCTCCCAGAAATCCCCATGGTAATGAAAGTTTTTGTTGAGACTATTTCCAAGTTGGTACAGTTGTGAATTCCGTCCTTTCTGTTTATGCTTGTGTTGATGAATGTTCATAGCTCAGTATTGATCCTGCACATCAGTCATACCTTGCACCCTTCCATACATACAGTGTCCCTGCTTTTTAATGAGTCAAATCAAATTAAAGCAGTATTGGTCAGGGAGTGCATTGACCAACTTGCCTGCAGGAGCCTGTGCTGCTTTATTATGCGGGATGCAACCTGAGTAGTAGGCGTGTGATTTTTCTTTCAGTCTTAAAATTTGCCTAAAGACTACACACAGGTATTTCTTTTTACCATTGAGTCACTGCTGGAAAATAGTGTCTTGTTGATAACTCAAAGGAACATTCAAGACATCAGAAGCTTCTCCCAAATAGGTCTTTAACATCTGCCTTTTTCAGCAGTTTTCTTTGAGATGGAGCCATTCTTGTTTGGAGGTACGTTGCTTCCATTTCATCTCCCTTTTTAACAGGTAGTACATGATTGACAGTTCTCCGTGGTTTGTCTTTCCCTCTTAACTACGCTTTCTCCCTTTTCTGTTCTTGGATAAAGAGTCACATGGGAGATTATGTGTGAAACTTTGAAAAGCCTAATATTCCATATAATATTCCATGGTTATAAACCATGAGAATGGCAGTCATCTGCACTGATTATGGCACTGATTTCCAAACAGTGGGTTTTGACTTACTATTGGGCCTTGAGATCGTTTCAGTGAGTTCTGACCATCATTTTTAAAATAATGAAATAGGATAATATAGAACAGGGAAATAAAGCTCAGAAAGTATCAGAGTGTATCACACATAGTAAGGGTAAATATTTTTACAGAACCCTGTTTGACGTTCCAGTTGCATACTGGAAGTGCTCTGGTTCGTGTCATAATGTGTATTACTTTCTGTGGGTCACAGGAAGGTGTTTGGGAGTTCTCCTATTTAAGCAGTGTGTTGACCTGGTCTGTCCATGGTTCTCCCAACACATCTTTCTTCTCTTATTACTTCCATGAACCACAGTAGAGCGTAGTGGTTTATGACTGTTATCACTGCAATCAAAATGCTTGCTTTTGGGCGGCACCTGTGGCTCAGTGGGTAGGGTCCAGTCCCAAATACCAAGGGAGGCAGGTTCAAACCCAGACCTGGCCAAACTGTAACAACAACAACAGAATACTTGCTTTTGAATTCCACCTCTTCTTCTTAATAGCTGAATGATGCAGTTATTTAAACTTTCCAACTTGCGTATCCTTATCTATGAAATGGGGATAACAAGTAATACATCATGAAGACTGTAATGGTAATTAAATGAAATCTCTAGTATGGTTTCTAGCACTTGGTGGGCCCTTGGTAGATGCCACATAATCTGATTCTGTATCCATCCAACTGTTCTATGGGATGGAGACTCCAAGGGCATTGGTATATCTGTCCTCTACTCATGTTCTAGACGCTGCCCTGTTGGCAGATGACTTAGGTTCTGTCTGAGCCCTTTCTGCTTCTAAATGGTGATTGGTTTGCCTTTAGCAACACTGGAGCTAAACTACTAAACTACTCTTAAATGACTCCCACTTACCTGCGTAACCCTTGTTTTCTGTCACTGTTCCCTTGGCATGCTGATCTTCCTATAGCCCTGCCATCCATCTACCCTGGCCACCCCCTCTGTCATGCTCACTTATGTCCAGACCCACCAGATCTACATTATAGGGCATCTTTCTTAGAGGAAAATAAAATTTTAAATGTTTTTTATGAGTACTGGAATGACTAGCTCACAGCATGCTCTACCCAGACACTTCCTATTTTTTGAGCTCTATAAACTCTTGTTAAATATAAGACCAATTAGAGTCTAAGGCAGGCAGGACACATTGGTGTGCAAACTAGCAAAATACCTCACTGTGAAGTCTAGGTTTAAAATGCCTAAAGTATTTCGGGGACACACCTACTAGTTAACATATAAAGAAATTTGATATATATTTCATTCACTAAGGTCCTTTTCTGGCTGTTGGTTTGCTGTCTTGTAGACACCAAGTAGAGGGCAGCAAACACAAAGAGAGGAGAGTTTTATTTAGGCAGCAGCTTGTGCTGAGCTGCATCCTTTGTTCTAAGTCCACATGTGTGTTTATACACTTGGGTTCCCACCGTGTCAGGCCATGCAAAGGAAAAAGTATTATTTTAATTTTATAATTTAGTTAGGTCTCATAGTTTGTGATTTTTGTGTTTTGAGTGTAAGAATGATAAATTTGATGGCTTGGTATTTTTTTCCCCAACCAGAGAAATCTTGATACATATTTCCAAATTCAAACCTGGCGTCTGCCATTTCAGTAGTGAAGGAGTCGCTTGTATGTGGTCCTATTGTGGCTCAAAAGCATCGTTCGTTGAACCTACATAGTGTTACAATTCTTTTCTTTGGTTCTTCAATGTTGATTCTGTGCCAGGAATGGTACTAGTTGCTACATTAAGTGTCATAAACAGAGTCTCCTGTCCACTAGGACCACACTTTCACAATCACAAGACTAAAAAGAAATGAAGAGAGAAAGTCCTCTGTTTGTAAAGAGGCTGTACTCTCACTTGGTGCTCACAAACTCACATGTTCATTTTCCAGATGTCATGATGTGAGTGACCCCCAAGTGCAAGTCTAGGCAAGGCCAAGTTTTATGGTAATCTGGATGCCGATTTACTCCCATACACTGGAGTAATTATCTTAACAGTTTCAATTTTTTCACTATCTCTGCTTTTTTCTTTTAACTTCTTCAACATGTGCCTATTACTTTGGGTAAATTTAGTTCTCTCTCTGCCTTTGCTGTGATTAGATATGATGAAGTTCAGAGTGTTGCAAAAAAAAAAAACACAAAAACAAGCACAAATCTAGTGGACATGTGGTTGACCCAGGAACCATCCATTGGGCTAGAGGTTGCTGGCATGCGGCACTGTTATGGCTCACAAATGTGATTTGTTGAACCTACATAGTGTTTATAATTATTTTCTTTGGTTAAATATGAAGGCTTTACAGAAAAAGTCTTGATTATGTAGCAGTAATCAGTATCAGCCTAGTGGCTATCTGCTTTGTAGGGGGTGAGCATTCCCATTGCAACACAATATCCAAGCAGCTTTGTTCATATGTGTTCATGTCAATGTGATCTTAAGATCGTGATGCCTGGCCTGGAGCCCAGTAAATCTGAATGGCAGTTAGCATATTTTTGTTACACAGTTAAGGTCAGTCTCAAGGCTGAAACATGGTGAGCTGGATCTTTTGTGTGAACACAAGTGTCTTCCACTTGTGGAGGTGGCAGGCAGCAAATAAAGTATGCATGTATGCTTGTGCTTTTTGTGTACTCAGTAACCACTAGTGAGTGGAAATTTCATCTCAGTTTTCCAACACATAGTGGTAATGTGTCTGGAGAAAGCATCACCTTTTCCTAGTTCACATGACTCCTCCTTGGGCTAGCAACCCTGTAGAATAGTGGTTCTCAACCTTCCTAATGTTGCGGCCCTTTAATAAAGTTCTTGTTGGTTGTGACCCACAGGTTGAGAACCGCTGCTGTAGAAGAAAGGTAGGTGAATAGATAAAAGTAAAGTGAAAAGTGATTTTCAAGGATTTTTTAAATAAAGAAATTTAAAATAAAAAATTGTCAGGGGAAGAATTTGTTGTTAAACCGCTCGAGAGAATAAACACTTGCTTTGTTAATTTGTGTAAGGACAAAATTTGAAATAATTATTTTCTACTTGTTAAAGTAGAACCTGTACTATTCTCTACTGTAAACCTATTTTGAATGCCTGTAAAGATGTAAAATACTGCAAGTTACTAAAATGCTTTTAAAAAATACTCTATTATTCTAATAACATCCTGCATGGGTTGTCTGGTAGAACAAATAAATATGAAAACCCAGGTTTACATGAAATAGAATCAATGGAGTGATAGGGCAATTGTGGAAGGATGCTTTGCTTCTAAAATACTGTAATTCACCCAAAGATTTAATTGGTGTCTCTTTAAGCATATAGAGTGAAAACACTCAATATTCAGAATGACCTAATCCTTATCTAGGCCTATATTGTTTTAGAACAAAATCATCACCCTCAGAATTCAGTTCTGATTTCATTTTTCTCTTGTTTCTAATCGGTTTCTTCACTATTATTCAACACTTTGCTCTATTTTCCTACCAGGACTCAAGTGCTTCCAATCTGCTGCTTGCATGTAGAAGTTTGGTATCCTCATTCTTTAAGTTTGTGTTTTTTCATGAAGCCCATTATTATCATTGAATTTATGATTTGAGGTGGAACATCCCATTCATTTCATTACCCAGGTGCCACTGTCTTATGCTTGCCTGCAATTTCATTTATATTTCCTTGAACTTTGGAATTACAAATGCATGTTTCTGTGAGTGTCTACATCTAGACACGTTTCTCATGTGACATTCTTCTTCACAGATTTCTTTTTAGATGTGGGCACTTCTGAATCTTTGCATCAGAAACAAAGTAGAAAATTACCATGTCTGTATCCAGAGACCCAGTCTATAGGGAGTACTTTTTATATATTTAAGAAA